CACACACACACACACACACACACACACACACACACACACACACACACACACACACACACACACACACACACACACACACACACACACAAATATCACAAACATTGTCTGAATGAATAAACTTTTTTCATTTACACTAACAGAAACTTATTTTCATTCTCCTCGCAGTGAGAGCTCCTCTCCTCTTTCTTCTTCGTTGGTTTCTTCTCCCTCTGCAGCTATTTTTCTTTTGTCTTCTTCGCGACTTCGCGACTCATTGCACACTGTGTGTGTGTGTGTGTGGCTTCTCTCCCCATTACACACTTAATGGTCTTTGCAGTGCCTCCTGCTTGCCTCCGTCTGTTTTCAGCTTTAATGTGAGGCTGTGAGTGAGGGCCTTCACATTCACTCTTCAGCAGTTTTTATTTCTCAGCCTCTGACTGAACGATGATCCACAGTCACACTGTGTGCACAGCACACCTGGCTCTCACTGTTGGACGGTGTTGTTGAGTCTCCACAAGCAGCAGAAGGTTTCAGAGTGTTCTTCTGAGCTTTATCACAAGCAGCAGCCCGCAGCCTCACATGTGTCCTCCTCAGGGGCGTGAAGTGAACTTTCTGCTGAGCGCAGCAGGAAACCAATCACACCGACAGCTTTTAGTACTCCTGGTTGTTGCAGATATCTGCTCCTGTATCTGCTGCAGGCGTGGGGGGAAGGAATCAGGCTGTTTTTGTAATCTAATCAACAAATAAAAAATGATAAGTTCAGTTTTAGCCAAATTAAAGTCAGCGTGAGAACATCAGCAGATAAAATCTGGTTAATTCATCTTCACTGCAGAGCTTTTCTCTGGTCCTTCACACCAGCTCACCGTCTGACAACCATATTTGTAGTTCGAGATCTACTGACCAATGATTTTGAAATGGCTCTGCTGCATGCAGGTAAACAGCCTGAGCACAGAGCAAATGAAGGAGGGCTTTCGGTAAATCGCAGTCTGAAAACCATCGACTATCATTTTTGGATCCATCCATCCTATTCAAGTTGTCACAGATCCGGCGGCAGGGTACACCTGGACAGGTCTATCCCAGCGCTCCGTTTCTTGATTTCCTTCCTGAATTTCTTGTGGCATTCACTCTGATTAATGGTTCCAGCTGTGGGACTTACACTTTGGCACCAGTTTTATTTATTTATTTGATGGAAGTCAGGCGCCGCTTTGCTCAGTCAAACAGAGACCACTCACGTTCATTTTTGACTTATTGGCTGACCTGAGATCTGTGTCTGTAGGCAGAGCTTCAGTAGCTGTTTATCAGTAGCTATATTATTTATATACAGTGATGAGTGGCCTGTTTCACAGTCATGTGGTGTAGATTTCAGGGAGACACTTGGGACTCGTACCCACTGATATTTACAGCACACGCATTCGCCCACCCACTCCCCTCCTTACGCTGCAAAAAAACAAACTCCAAGTGCATGACTTATGTATGCAAACATGTTCCTTCACATACGCGAAGACGTCTCTGTCATAAACCGATGTAACAAACGTGCAAAATGAAAATTCCTCGTTTGATTTGTTTGTTGTTTGAGCTGAGAGGAATCTCACACATGTCGGCAGTAATTCGCTGTGTAGTGTTTGAGGGGGTGAAGCTGATGATCTGTCAGTGACTCATTTGTAACATTTATACCAGAAATGCAAATATGAAACCCACGGCTGTGTGTGACAGAAAATACGTAAAAAGATTACCATGGTAACCAGCTCTGTCTGACACGGCTGTGCTGTCTCATTAATAGTTTTTTTTCTTTGCCAGAAATGTCAGGTTGTTCAAGTTCATAAAGACGGACGCGGCCGGGGACGAAAAACAGTGCTGTAAAAACTCTAAAGTAACAAAGGGTGGAAGAGAGGAAGGGGCGGGGTCCAAAATGCACCCAAAACAACAGAGACTCACTGTGAGATCGACACTGTAAGATGTACTGTAACCACACACCAGCAGGGCGAGGGACAACAATGAAGTCTGTCAAGGCAATATTCAAGACAGGAAGAGAAAAAAGGCAGGAAGTGAAAACTGAGAAAGCCAAAAAGGACCTGACCTTCAAAATAAAAGAGAAATGAGACTCAAAAGCAGAGAGGGGAACACATTTATCAACTCAAAAGCTTCTTTTCCATTAAGAACTTGGGATTCCTGTCCTTCATTTTGTGGAATTTTCCATTCTCGCCATAACTGAGAGTTTTGCTTCTGGGGTCCTTTATTGATGACACACCTGTAGAAAAGAGTCAGTGTGTTCATGGACGTTTAGGTTAAATGTGACCACGCCTGGAGAATACAGAGATTTAGGTTTCTGTGAAAGGAGAGCACTTTTTAGCTTTTATATCTTCTAAATTATTAAATTGTTATTTCCTTAAAACTATTTGAAATTTCAGACTTTTTGTGGAAAAATGTGGATCCAGCGTGTGACACCACACAGCACTCATTCGTTCATGAACTGAAGCCTTGAAGCCACGCTCATGGACGTTCATGTGTGGCTCAGAATCATGCCTGAACCGCCTCCTATGATTGGCTGATACCTGTGTCTTCCTCTGCAGGTATATTTGGCAGCACTCACTTGGACCCCAGCCTCCTCCCCTCACCCAAACCCATCGCCGACAGCAACCCTGGTTACCACAGCAACAGCACAAGTGACCCCTACCCCTCCTCCTCATTCACGGTGGAAACCGTCACATATTCACCGCAGAACCGCAGTGAGAGCACACCTGCCGCCACCGGCGTTCCCCCGGTGACCTCTTCTCAGGCTCCGCCCACTCAGCCATACACAACGCCCCCTGATTGGCTTGCCTCTGTGACATCGCTGAGCACCGCTTGGCCGAGCAGCACCGCCTCTGCGCCCAACACAGGTATCAGGTGTGAGCAGGAAAGATGGAAGCAGCAGGGGGTTGTGGGAAACGTACGCAGCTTTTAAAAGACCTGAGTAATGCCAGGGCTAAGGATGAACTACAAATCCCACAGTCCTCTGCAGTCTGTGTCCTTCCTGCTCTCCGTCTGTCTTTTGCTGTTGTTGTGTCCTTTCCCGTCAAACAGTAAAATCTTATTAGGCTCCATTAGTGTCGACTGGACGAGTTGATACCTGAGAGTAGCTGCAGAGGATGAGCTGCATTCAGATCTGCTGTCCTCTACTCTCCTCTACTGACCTGATGGGCTGAGCGAGAGTGTGTGTGCGCATCTGTGCTGATAAATCGTTTGTTGGGTTGCTATTTTAAAATTCCCCTCGTCTCCGTCTCTCTCTGTTCCTCTGCTGTCCTTCAGTGTCTCTCTGTCTGTTCCCATGTATTAATGTGCAGTCGAGGTGAATGCTAATGAGCCTCAGTCTGTCCTGCGCTCTGATTGGACACTGGACACTCACCAGATTTGGTGGACGTTTGACCTCCTGCCCAGTTCGGCCACCTTGTTAAAAAAGGTCACGCTCAGTGATTAACTGACTCTCTGATGACTTAGATTTCTCCCACTGAGACAACAAGTTAGGCCCTGAAGGTGTCGGTGGTGTCACCTGGCTGTTTGTCCTGCTAATGCTAGCTACAATTGTCTTCTTAAAGCACTGACATTGATACATCCAACTGTGGACAATCCAACCAATTACAGGCGAGGTTTAAACACAGAAAGACCTCAATTTACTGTCATTTGTTATTAGTTATTTGTTATCTTTCTAAGTTATTTGCCCCTAAAAATCTCAGAAGGATGGTCTTACTTATCCTGGAAGGCATTAGTTTGGCCTGTAAGCATCCATCCATCTAGATGGCCATTCCTTTGTCCATCCATTTTCTTTTGGGGATCTGTGGCAGCAGCTTATTCTAGTCATTCTTTAAGCTAGCAAAGTTTTCCAGTTACTATATAATCTCTGAGTGTCCCCAAAAACCTCTAAAGGACATCCTGATCAGATGCCAAAACTGATTGGCTGGCTCCTCCGAAGGAGCAGCAGCTCAGCTCACCAGATGTTTGCACTTCTTACTTTGTCCCTAACAGTCAGTCTGGGAACCTCCCTGATGGTTCAGTCACTTCCTGTTTTTGGTTGCTATCCTCTCCTCACCCCAACTGGTCATAGCAGATAGCTGCCCCTCTGAGCCTGGTTCTACCGGAGGTTCCTTCCTGTTATAAGGGAGTTTTTCCTTCCCACCAAGTGCTTGCTCAGAGGGGGTCGTCTGATTGTTGGGGTTTTTTCTCTATGTTGCTTTGAGGTGGCTGTGATGTGGAGCTACATAAATTAAACTGAATTGACTGCTCGTGACCACAGGTGAGGGTTAGATTATAGATTGACCATTATGACGAAAGATTGTTTTTCTTTTATTATAACCATAGTATTTAAAAATAAACACTGACATTCCATGAAAATCATGCAGGTGAAAAATACCAGTACAGTTTTGGTTAGATCAAACACGTATTAAGCACAGGTGCTCCCATTGGCTTTAGGTCAATCCAACCCACTGGCACAGTCAAAAGAATTCAACAGTTCCCGAATGCAAATGTTTCTGCATAGATTTTTCAGTGATATTAGGGTTATTATGGTAATCCCAAGTAGGGCGTCACATCCAACTCTTGGCAAATAACCCAGAGAACAAAAGCAAACAGCAAAACAAAACAATAAACAGACAGTAAAAACTCAAATGTCTGATAAAATGTCTGTTTCCTGTAGAGCTCCATCACACTCCCTCACTTCCAACCCAACCTTTGACTGCTGCAGCACCATGCCTGGGATACTGTGATGACCCGAATTTCACTGCTTTCAGGAACCATTGGAATTCTTTCAATTGACCAAATGGTTCAGGAGTTACGGGAGCTACAGGTGTAAAAAATATAAACCACCTGTCTGACAGGTTAGATTTCAGTGGATTCAAATATGATAACTGTGAGTTTCACCCGCTGGTTTTGGTCTCAGTGTTGTTTGCCATCATTTTCACAAGATCAGCAAACTTTAGCCACCAGACGCTGCTGGTGCAATTACCTCCAGAGCAGCCATCAAAATTCTCCAGAAGACTCCAACAGAACAAACACAATCCAAGGGACCAGTTCAGGGACTCCTACTGCTCAACGTCCACCAAACACATCACGCCATGGGCAACAATGAAGTGAAATATCACTAATAAAACAAAGATCTGTGAAAACCAAACATGCGCCAAAAAGTTGTTGTTGAGAAGCATAAAATATTAGAAACTATAACATAAGCATGTTTTATAACGAGGCTGTAATGACGACAGCAGCCTGCAGGGGCAGCGTTCAGGGCTTGATCCTCGTGACCAGCTGTCTCTGTGCAGGTAGCTGTCAGCTGATCGTGGAGCCTCAGTGTCACATGTTGCCCTACAATCAGACGTGGCTGTCCTCCTCCGTCGCCGTGGTGAAGAGCTCAGAGGTGGACATGTTGCTAAGGTAACAGTTACTTCCACTAAAAGTCATTGAATTGTCTACAGACAGCTATTTCATGTTGAAAAGCAGACAACACAATTAAAGGCGTCACCTCAGGTTGTGTCATGTCAGGGTTTCGTTACTTTTAACATTTAAATGATCCAATCGCTTCATCAGTGAATCGATGAGTAGATGAGTGTTGGCTGAGCTCCCGGCGGTGACTGAACGCCAGCGTGTGTGTTTCAGGTTCTTCAGCTACCTCAGCAGACTCTCGTGCTACAGACACATCATGCTCTTTGGCTGCTCGCTGGCTCTGCCCGAGTGCATCGCAGCTGACGGCGCACACAACAGGTAACACACACACAAACCTACAGTCAGCTGTTTCCATACACAGACCTTACTTGGCCTATTTCACAGCCTCTCCAGTTTCCATATAAGCAGCTCGTTGCTGTGGAGTCGTCAGTGTCGACCTTTCTGGACTTGACCTGGGATTGAAGATTGATTGAGGAATCTGATGTGAGCTGGAGGGCCGCTCTGACCAGACGACAAACATAAAAAACTAAAAAATATAGAAACTATTTATATTAAGAGAAAGGTGGTGAGAAAAAACAAGTGCACTGTGCAAGCTGTTTATTTGCTGTCTGCTTCTTCTCCATCCACAACATGTCCACCTATTTTAATCTGTCCAGAACTGAAGCTGATGTTTGCTCCTTTACTTGTTACCACAGATTGTCCCTTATATTATCTGTAAGCTTCTTTGCTGTGACTAGAAAAGCAGCTTGAACCCTGAGTGGAACTTTGAGAAGATTGAAATATGGTCTTATCTGTTTCTCAGATATCACAGTCGTCTCTGGACACTCATAAAACTCATAATTAGACAATTAGAGCTCGGTGTTAGGTTGCTGTTTGATCGCAGTGTCAAATGTTCTCATCAGCAACACTATCCAGCTGCTCTGCTGCTCAGGGTGAGGGGAGATCCCAGGGCATTAATAAACCGTCAGCGCGCTGCACGCTCAAACAGGTGGTGCCCTTATTATGTCTCAGTTTCAGCTTTTAGCACAGTGCCAGAGGCTCCAGGTGCAAACTCGGTCCAGAGTGAAACAGCCTTTCTTCTTCCCTGTCCTCGTTCCCTAGCATGATGCTTTGTTCAAACAGCACGACAGCATGTTGGATTAGTTTCAGCGAATGTCCAGCTGCTGCTGACAACAACCAAACCATAGGAGGAAGCTACTGATATCATAGACACAGAATAAAGTGCATCTCTCCAAAGCTGTCAGGTGACCGTCAGGAATGTTGGAGGTACCAAAATGTTCAGGCCTTCTTTAAAAGCCTCACAGTGCCGAGCAGCTTCTCTCAGTTTACCTAAACCTTGAATGTTGTCTTTCAGTTCCAGCACATTCAGCAAAGACTGAACTTTGTCTTCCTATAAAACACAAACAAGAACATGAAACTCAGCTGTTCACACAGTAAGTGGGACAGCAGCTGTATGTGTGTATACGGCTAATAATAACACCCTCACACCCTCCAAACTCAGAGGGCACGCACACAGACACACACACGCACGCACACGCGCACACACACACACACACACACACACACACACACACCTTCAGTGTCAGTGGTTTCAACTCCAGACGACCTCTGACAGGAGGATTATGGGACTTTTAATGTTTTAATGATGCTACCAGCTAACTGCTCCCTGACGTCCGCGTATGTGTGTGTGCAGGACGGTCGTGTTGCCCTGTGCGTCTTTCTGCGAGGCAGCGAGAGAAGGCTGCGAGCCAGTCCTGCAGATGTTCAACGCCTCCTGGCCTGACTTCCTGCGCTGCTCCCAGTTCAGCAACACCACCTCTGCTTTGTCACCACCGTCATCACCATCATCATCACCTTCGCCAACAGGTCTCCTCACGTCACCTGCCTGCTACACACCGCGACAGATTAAAGGGAAACCCTGTGAGTACAAACCACACATAAAATTCTTCACTCAAAAACTGGAGCTCAGACCTCAGGGACCGCCAGTTGGAAAAATGAGCCAATCAGCTAACGTATTAGCTCAGATAATTTCATTAAAACATTCTAAAGGCTCCAAACTCAATCCAGAGTCCAGGTCAGGAACTCCAGTTAGCAGCTATCATCCACCTGACCCGTAATAGTACAGACTTTAAGCCTTAAACTTCTTAAAGGTGAATGAAATGTACACCCGTTGTTATAATCGTTATCTACAGAGACCAGTTTTTGAACTATTTTTGTAACAAGTAGTAAACATGTTAATTTCTCCTGTAAAGTTTTAAAATGGGAGTTTGTGGAAATGGACAAGAATATGATTGGAATCTGAATAAAAGGTAGAGGACCAATGATAGAGCCTTGTGGAACTCCACAACCTGAAAACAGTCTGTGATGCCCTGTTCTCACAGTTAATCTGCTGGTTACTGCACTGAGTAAAAATGATTTGAGTTTGAACGTTTTCAGGTGAGATCTTGAAGTCACCAGTAAATACAGTTTCCATTTACGCTAGCCATTACATGCATGTAGCCAAAGTCTTTTTTCCACAAAGTCTCATGTATTCAAACTTGTACAACTTCCCCATCTGTATATCTGTGAAACTCCGAGCTTCTGATAATGATACTGAGACATCATTAAAACTGCAGTAAAAACCAACACAGCCACACATTCGTGTCTTCAAACCAGCTTCAAACCACATCGTGCCAGCTTACAAAAACTGAGAGGCACACAACCTGAAGACACGAGAGAGACATAAGAGTTAGCAAAAAGTGGACATGATGTCAGTTTTCACATCAACGTTGTTCCTGAGGCAGTGCGAGTATAGAATGACCCTTACAGGCTTCCTTTACATCTGCATTCATAATTTTTTTCTCGGTCTCTCATTAAGTTATAGTTCTGGTCGTGACTGAAAACTATTTCTCTATTGGCCAAGTGGACATTAGAGGGACTGCAACTTTTTATACATCATAAATATTGTTGTTGTACATCACTGCTGTACTCTCTCTCTGATTGGTTGGCAGCCGTATGTGGCGGGAAAGATCATTACTTGTGTGCGACTGGGATTTGCATCCCTCAGAAACTGGTGTGCAACGGCTACAACGACTGTGATGACTGGAGTGACGAAACACACTGTGGTGAGCATACACACACACACACACACACACACACACACACACACACACACACACACACACACACACACACACACACTGTATTGTGGTCTGTGTAAATAGCAGGAAACATTTCAGCCCGTC